TATTGAATTGTGTAGTACGGATGAACACCTAAGTAGACTTAAGTTCTTTTCTTAGTTAATTGTCAACCGCACATAATTACCTATTCAACAAATCCTTAGTGTTGTCTTATTTTTAATCTTGTATTTTGGTTTATAAAAACCATTATAGAGAACTAATAAAGTATTTGAGAGCCAGTAGTGTGGTAGCTCTTTAGAAGTATTTATTATCAGTTTTAACATTGGGTGCTTGTATTTTGTGAATGACCAGAGAATAATACTAGTTTTATACTCTTATCACATGAAAACTAGGTAAGAGTAGCTGTTGAAACTTGCACAGCACTCATTTTGTATTCTATTTGATTAAATTAATAATTACTATTCATAGCCATGAAAAATAGGAATTCTGAAGTGGTGTAGCACTCTGGTTGGCTGTGTAATAAAAGCAACATAATCATAGGTTTTGATAAGGTATGTGTGATTGCTTTTAAATGGCCATTTTGAAGGGCTTTGGTTTGGTCATAATAATTAGCTACAGGCTGAAATTTGATGGTCATCCTCTCATTCTAGGACACATAGGGAAGAAATTGCCTCTTGTCATTTTTAAGTTATCCAAATGCAGATTTATGTTGAATAATTATTTAAAGTTTGTTTGCAAACGAATGACTTTTCTGTTAGTTTCACTTGTGGACTAGTATTTGTGATGACAGTTGATGTGTCTCAATTTAAGAAAATCAGTTGCTGCACAGGTGAGGTGGTATTTGGATCACTTTAAAAGTTCATGTCAGTGTTTTGGTTCTTTTAAATTTTTCCTTTTTTTAATTTTTGCTTTTGTTTTTTGGTTTTGTTCTGTTTTGTTTTATTTACTTTCACTTTTAGTTTCTATTGGGTGTTTTGGGATCTTCCTGGCCTTGCTGCATTTTTGGCTGGCCATATTTAGTCTGCGCACTAATTGTTAGTTGGCCCAGTTGAGTTTTAAATATGGTGCTCTCAGTTCTTTTAGTCTGGTTTTCTATTTTTGTCCACCTGGTTGTGTTTTGGTTCATGAGAGATTTTTCTTCTGATGGGCCGGATTTTAATCCGTGTACTAAATTTTAGTCTGCAGACTAAAAGTAATCCGCGGATTATTTATTTTTGTAAAATATTTAATTCCCCCACTGGAAACTATCCTAAAAGAATGTTAAATTCTCTTAGAATAGCCAAGGGAGTTGACAGTTACTGGTGAATTCTGCTATATTTTGTTCTCAATACCTAGACATAATAGACCCTACAACCTCCCTTGCATATTTGGCTTCGTTGTGCCTAGGTGTTGGTGTATATTACTATACATAATCACCTGTAACTGTGACTGTCCCTTGGTTGTATTACTAATTGTAGCAATTTTTGCTTAGCTTTTGGTGGGTGAATTTGGTCATATTTGCAGTAGAGCTGTGTTGAATTTGTAATGCTCAAAGACATAGGATTATTTTTTTCCAGTGAGTTATTCCAAAAAGGAAAGTGTGGTCTATATTTATTTTTTCTAAGTGATGGGTGCAAGGGTATGAAGGGGCAAAGCCCACAATAGAAAAATAAGTTTATACCCGCACTCCTGAGGTACTATGTAAATTTCTTGAAGAGTCCTAAGGAAATGAGAATGTCAGCAAATAAACATCTTTAGCAGGGAAGTCAATCCAAAATGGAGAATAATCCGCGGTGGCCTGATCTGTTCTTAGTTCACACAAATTGAAAATATTTGGCCTGAAATCTATAGTAATATAAATTGTTTTGCTTACTTGCCTCTTCCCACTAATAACTTAGTGGAAAAAAAATGTTTATACTGTGTCACTGGAACACATTAATAGAGAAAATTAGCATATTGGGAGCTCATATCTTTAAAAGCAAGCTAATATGCCCCCTCCAGCCATGTCTATGGACAATGAATACAGGTCATAGAGGACCAAACACTTTACTTTGGGAACTTTACTTCTAGATTTCATTTTGATTTTAACTTTTTTTGGTTTTGTATTTTTTTAATAAACACACTGGCATTGGAACATAAATAATTAAAATTAAAATGTTTCTTTACTGTGCCTCACCATTGCACAATCAAAAACAATTTTTTTTTTTGCATACACTGTGGTGAAATAATTTTTACAACTTGGACTTGCTACTGTGGAGACTAATGTTTAAAGTTTATAACTGTATAAACATTTTCTATGTCCCCCACACTATGGATTTCTTATAACATTGGATATATTTTTCCTTGCTGGACTATTCTCTTTTGGATTGACTTCCCCTGTTTGGATTATTTCACTGCATTATCATCTTTAGGATTCGTCAGGAACAGGACATTTCACCTCAGGAGTGCGGGTATGTACTTAAGTTTTTTTTCCCAAAAATTTCAGGACAGGTCTATAAAACTAGGGAAAAACTTCTTTTTGAAAGACTAAACAATTGTTCTTTCTTGAAATGTAGTAGTAAAACAATAATAGGAATTTTTATTTGCATTTATTGTATGCTATAGGTTTGCTTGTGGTATAAATTATTAGTCTCCTGGGTGATTCATTGACATCCTCAGTGAAGTTTAGGAATTTGGGGGTTTTTTTAAATCATTTTTCTTTTTCTTTTTTTTTTTTCTCCTCTTAAAATCATCATTCTTGTAATAAGAACCAAAGTTCTGAGTACTAAGCGATTTAAATGAGCAAAGAGTGAGACAGCTGCAGAAACTTATTTATTAAAAGTCTCATTAATAGTTTCCTTTTCTTTAGACACACAGATAATTCAAAAGAGTTTTTCCTAAATTTGATTTATAACTTGGAAACTATACATTATCACAACCTGTATTACCATCACAAATCTGAGCTTGGTTGGTGCTGGGTTTTAACCCGCTATAATTTTCCTGTTAGCCTTTATCCATGGAGTAATTAACCAAGGCTTTTTTCATCAGGAGTCTCTCAAAGGATTTAAAGTAACAAAGAAGATTCTTTTTTTTTTTTTAAGTTTTGATTTTAATGTAGCCTGTTAGAACAAATTCTTTTCTTCATTGTTTTTAATCTCTTTGACTCCATGAGTTAGGTTTCCTTGAAAAAGCTAGTAAATGTCTTAATGCCAATATGGGTGATCACTGGTAGCCAAAAAGATATGGGTGATATCTTTTTAGTAAATACAAATATGCTTACTTACTAGTTTATGAATAGATTTAACACAAAATGTTCATTAACATAGCATGAAGTTTGATCCTTCAAATGCACCCTCCACCTAAGTACCTTACATTTGAATATTATCAGGTAATATTATTTCTGCTTTTGATTTTACTTATGTGTACTCCGGTATTAGTGCAAAAGCATTTTGGATGTAGCTTCTCTAGCAAAATAAAATCCTTATACTGACAAATTGAAAATACCCTAAGGGATTAAAAAAACGAGTCAGTAGTAGTTATCCCAACCACCCTCCCCAACACCCCTCCCTCCCGGTTTTCCTATGGTTCTTTTTTCTTTATTCTGAGTTTGATTATGGACTCTATGAGAGCAAAAGGGAAGGATGAGCAAGAACATAAGAAAATCCAAAACATCACAATTGCTTTCAGATTTCTCTGAGTAAAATAAGTCAAAACTGTCAAAAGAATAAAGCTGCAGCAGCTTTTGACATTATAGAAGTCTTTGTGACTTGACCAGTAAGTTGACTAAAACCTTTAAGGTTCTGGAAAATTCCTGAGATTCTACTTAATCCAATTCCTCAGTTTTCATGTGAAATACTTTTATCAACAATAAACTTTATATGAAGACAAAAGCAAAGAGTCATTTTCACTGTAGAAAGTATTCTTACTAATAGTCTCTTAAAAATTGAATGAGCTCTGTTATTATGATTACTTCTCCTTTCATCCTAACTGAACAGCCAGATGTTGTATGAGTCATTCTCAGTAGGAAACCTTACCTTCCTGGGACTTCTGTGCCCTGTCATAATACAAGAGTCTTTACTTCACTTGTGGGTCTTTACTTACCTTCATTTATATGAGTATGTGTCTGCTTCTCTTCCACCTCCATTCTTCTCCCTTTTTATTTGGTTGTATGTTTTTATCTATGTGTTTATGTTTCTAATTTTCTTTAGTCTCATTTATTTGTATTTATTTATTTTCCCCCCTTCTACATGTGTTCTTTAACTGGTCATATTTTAAACTGAAGTAGATTTTCAAAGTTTTATGTGTTGATTAGATGAGTAGAAAGCTTTATATTCCTTTAAACAAATTAATCACATTTTACTTCAATATAGCCTTCAGTTGATTTTTTCTGTAGGTTAGTGGCTTTAATGAAAAATATTTCCCTGATTAAAACCTAGAATGCTAATTCAAATGTCATTCGTCTGGCCATATTCATAGCCAGCAACTTATGAAAACAGTATTGGGCTTTCTAACAAATTCTAAGTATTGAATCAGGGATTTTTCCAATTGTTGATAGGCTGTATTTATTGAAAAGGCAATACTAAATCATTAGCATTCATAAGCTTAGATAAATCAGCTTTTCTTTTTAAGATATTGATTGCCAAATTGCACTGTGCTGTCTGTCCATCACCAACAATTATTCTGCAAAAAATCATGTAAAAGAGACAATCTTTTATCTGTTGTCACAGCAATCAGATCCGCCCCCCCCCCAATTTTTAAAGGGTAAATTCATTCTTTTAGTTGTATTTTTCTTCCAGAAACTAGCCTTTCTTATGTGCCTGTCATTTTTGTGTGTGTGCGCCTTAGGATTATGATCATTTTATGTGATCGTACATTTTTATGGCTAGCATATTTAGATTTTTGCAACGTGTCCCCGTTTTTTGGGTTTTTTTTCCTCCCTTTGCTTCACTTATATAGTCTTTAATTGACAGTTCATTTCAATGTGGTGAAATATAAACAGTTATCTTCCAGTTCTAGAAGGCTCCTTTCCCAAAAGCAGAGATATTTTTGCACATGGTGGGAATTGACTCAGTTCTCAAAGGGTTATTTGCTAAGATTCTTATTATAAAACATTAATTGTTCTTTCCCCCATTTGTTGTTACTGCAGGTCTTCCGACCCCGAACTCCACCGGAGGCAATTGCACTGTGTAGCCGTCTACTGGAGTATACGCCAACTGCCCGATTAACACCACTGGAAGCTTGTGCTCATTCATTTTTTGATGAATTACGGGACCCAAATGTCAAACTACCAAATGGGCGTGACACACCTGCACTCTTCAATTTCACTACTCAAGGTAATTTCAGACTCTTGGCTCTTTTATCATTTTCAGGAAAACTACACATTGGGTGTGTTAATTAAAATATTTGGAGGACAAAAATGGGCATATTAAGCACTTACACAAGTAGAAAGCATACTTTTAATCACTTCTTAGGCTGTTAATTATATGATTTTGAAGAAAATTGTGGTAGATAAAAATTTTCAAATAGATAGCTTTTCTACTTTTTAGCAAATTACAGTCATTCTTGGCACATGAGGAGAAGTTCTAGAAATTTCAAGTATTTTAAACCTGCAAATATATTGATGACTGTATCTGTGTGAACTCAGATATCTTACATATGGCTGTATTTGTGAATTTAAATATTTTATATACAAAGGGAGGGCTGAGTTCTATAAATTTTTCAAAGGATATACACAAATTCTATCCCTCTGAGTCTTGGCACCACTCATTCTGATGAGAAAACAATGGCAGGGAAACTGAGTTTGTGCATTAGTGGTTTTTGACAAACATATATATATATATAGAGAGAGAGAGTCATTGGAGTCCTGGTATATGTATGTATGTGTGTATATATATATATATAGTCATTGGAGTCCTGGTGTGACCTATTGAGCTGGACTGCAAAGTCGTTTGAGCCGCAAAGTTGGTGGTTCAAGTTCACCTGCTGCTCCTTGGAAAACCTATACAGGGTCACGGTGGTTTGGAACTAACTCGACAGCACTTAACAACAACATATATAGTCATTATTTCCTCCCATGTCTCTGTTCACTTTTTCTTTCTTCCTGAGCAAGACCCTTTGTCAATCAGCCGACACTGCCTTTGTTGATATGATTTTCTTTTTAAACTGAGCATAAAATTTGCATAGTTCTTTGAACATAAAACAAGCAATAAATGATTGATTCATAAGCTTAGTTGGGCTAGAGAATATAGAAGGAAAATGCTGGGCTTTCCCTTATATTTAAACTTTTCTAAAATCTAATGTAGAACATGAATTGCTCAAATATTAGATGTAGAAGACCTGAGTTAAAATAAAATAGACTTGGATGGTGTGTTAGTTCATTAGTGTTAACAGTTTTAACAGAAATACCACAAGTGGATGGCTTTAACCAACACAAATGTATTTGCTCACAATTTAGGAGACTAAGAGTCTGAATTGAGGACACCACCTATAGGAGAAGTCTTCTTCATTTTGTCGTTCCACAATTTAGGAGGAATGTCCCTGTCCCCTTTTAGCATCTTTGTGGGCTTTGCACTCCTTGGAAATCTCTATGTGTCTTGTCATCAGTCTTCCCCTTGGTCTAGGAGCTTCTCAGTGCAGGCAGGGACCCTGAGTGAAAAGGATGCGCTCCTCTCCCAACTCTTCTTTTTTGGCGGTAATAACGTTCCACTCTCTCTGCTGGCTTCTCTCTCCTTTTGTCTCTTATAAGATGAAAGGTGATTCAATCCACACTCCAGGTTAACCCCCTTACAACTCATTGGCTGATCACAGCAGATAATATCATGTAGAAGGGGGAGTGATGGCATAATGACATAACCGCCAAGCCACTGAGAATCATTGCCCAGCCAATATCACACATATTTTTTGGGAACACAGTTTAGTACATGGCATTTCACCATTTGCATCTCCCCTTAAAAAGTCATGTCTTTGTTACATGTAAACACTTTCAGACCGTCATGTCATTCTGAAAGTCTTAAATGAACTCAAAGTTGATGTTCCTTCCTGAGGCAGAATTCCTCATCACCTGTGACTCTAGATTATAAATAAGTTAATCTGCTTCTAAAGTACAGTGGTAGAACAAGCACAAGGTAGGCATTTCCATTACAAATGTAAGAAATTGGAGGGAACAAAGGGATAATGGGTGTCAAGCAAGTCCAAAACACAGCAGAACAGTTTACATCAACTCTCAAGACTTGAAAATAATTCTCTGTTCTCTGAGACCATCTAGGCCGTGTCTGGCTCCTCTAAATGCCCATTGTTGCCTATGCTTTTTGAATTCTGTATAGAAGCTCCGTGACCTTGGTCTGAACCACTTGACCCACTGGGATGGCAACTCTATTGCCTTGACTTTAGATGGCCCCATTCTCCAAGTCCAACCAAGTGGGGACCCCACACTCAGCCATGTGTGACAGAGCCTTTTAGGCCTACTCTTACCTGCTCAAACGTACCCCACTCAGTAAGCCTCAGCCCAAAGGTGCTCAGCTCTCTCATTCCATGGGTGGTCTCCTGTGCCCTACTCCTGCAAGAAACTGTTAGAGCAGCACCCCACTCCTGGTTTCAGAGTCTGCCTTAGTTACTAGTGCTGCTATAGCAGAAATACCACAAACAGATGGCTTAAGCAAATAAAGTTTTGGAGGCAAGAAGTACAAATTTAGGGTGCTAGGAAAAGGATCTCTCCGGAAGGTCTTTATCTCTTTTCAGCATCTGTTATCAACCCAGCATCCCTGTGTATCTTGACACTGGCCTTCCCCTATGCCTAGTAAGTTCTTAGGCTATGAGCCCTGGGTCCAAAGGATATGCTCTGCTTAACATTTTTTAATCCTGTCTCATTAACCACAAAAGCTCAATGCAAACCTATTGCCATAGAGTTGATTCCTACTCATAGCAGCATCATATATTATTTCCGATGCTGTAAATCGTTATCAGAGCAGACAGTCTCATCTTTCTCCTGTGGAGCAGATGGTAGGGCTTTAAACCGCCAATCTTACAGTCCAACACCTAACTCACAGCACACTATCAGGATTCTTTTCATTAGCAATAGCCAGAATTTAAGTTTTACAACACATCATAAAATGGAGAGTAATCACACAATACTGGAAATTATGACCTCGCCAAGTTGACACATATTTGGGGACACAGAATTCAGTCCATGATAAATGGTTCAGATGACTATAAACATATATGTACAGCCAATATAACTACTAACAATATTGATGTACTCATAAGCTGCATAATTAAAGAAGAATGTTTAGGTATCCTGAGACTTAATTCTGCTATTTAGGGATTATCAGAAAAACATTTGGAAAGTTTGAGATCCTGCCTACCCAGTTTTAAGAAGCTAAGAATATTACTAGTGAATTGGCGCAGGGATAGAGTGAACTCACTGTTGTTGATTGATTCTGACTCATTAGCAGCCTTATAGGACAGAGTGAAACTGTTCCATAGGTTTCTGAGGATGTAAGTCTTTGTGAAAGCATACTGCACACAGCAGGGTGGTAGGTGAACCTTCCAAATGTTTGGTGGGTTCTAACCACTGACCTTTTAGTTAGCAGCCTAACAACTCACTGTGCCACCAGGATATACAGAGGATTTGTGATTCTGTGGATATCAGTTAAAAGGTTAAAAAGACATGAGTCTGGGCTTTTAAAGTCATTTTTCATAAAGCTTAAATTATTTTAAGTGTCATCACTACTAAGATTACAGTCCCCCCCCCCCTTTTTTTAAATTATTTAAATCCCCCATTTTAGCAGCCATTTTTAGATTGGACTAGGCACATAGTCTAACTTCTCCCTTCCTATATTAGTATTATTTGTGAGCAGTATTTCCATATAAGGACATAGCTATCTAGGGAAGAGGGGTCAATTGATGGTGTTCTATTTAATTTTGGAGCAGTATTTTCAAATGGTTATCTTGTTAATTACTAAGGCAAAGATGTAACGTGTGCAGATACAATTTATCAGAATAAAACCAAGTAAGTATACAGGAGGTTAAAGGAGAAATAATCAGGAATGAGGTTGAAAGGGGGAGGAGAGTATTGATGAAGTTTGTTGTAGAGTAGACAGTATAATACTCTCCTCCATTCTCACAACAAATTTTTCAATGGTATCTGCACTACCACCTCAAAATAAAATAAAGATAATGCCTAACCTATATGTAGTAGTTATTCAGTGAATGTTTGAATGACTAATTCATGCCACTCCAAGCAATTTGTTGTTGTTGTTGCTAAGCCATTGAGTCGGACTGTGTATAGGTACAGGGTTTCCAAGGAATGGCTGGTGACTAAACTTACAGTTAGCAGTGCAGTGCTTACTCTGCAGCACCACATCAGGACTTCAAATAAGCAGTTGTTGTTAACTGTGAACCATCAAATTGCTTCCAACTCATAGCTACTCTGTGTATACTTTCCAAGGAGCAGCTGGTAGGTTTAAAACTGCCAACCTTGTGGTTCGCAGTCCAGTGCTGATCCTGAGGATCAGTACCACAGTAGTACAAATAAGCAGTGCTGGTGGTGGTGTACTGTGGAGCTGATTCCAATTCATAGCAACCCTGCATAGGATTTCCAAGGCTCTAAATCTTTATGGGAATAGAAAGCCTCATCTTTCTCCCACAGAGCAGCTAGTAGATTTGAACTGCTAGCCTTGAGCTAGCAGTATCCATGAATTCATGCAACCAGTATTTATTGGTCATTTCTAATGTTTGCTGCAGTTGTTACTATTATTGTTTTAATTAGTAGTTAGTTGTTGTTAATGTGCTGTTGAGTCGGTTCTGACCCATAGCAACCCTATACAGGGTTTTGGAGGAACAGCTGGTGACCTTGAACCACCAGCCTTGCAGTTCAAACCAACCTTGCAGTTCAGCGCATTAACCCACAACGCCTCACCAGGACTCCAGTAGTTAGTAAATCTACTCTATAAGCACAAGTATGAAGATTAAGCATTTAAATGAAATACGTTATTGTTGTTAGGTGCCATTGAGTCGGTACCAACTCATAGCGACCTTATGCACAGCAGAAAGAAACACTGCCTGATCCTGGGCCAACCTCACTACTGTTGCCACGCTTGAGTCCATAAATGCTGCCACTTAGCCAATCCATCTCGTTGGGGGTCTTCCTCTTTTTCTCTGACCCTCCACCTTACCAAACATGATATTCTTCTCCGGTAACTGGTCCCTCCTGACAATATGTCCGAAGTATGGAGACAAAGTTTGGCCATCATGGCCTCGCAGTCAAGAAATCAAATGACATTAGGTAAATCTCCTGTACAAGACGTTCTTAAAGTGTGGAAGAGCAAAGAGGTCA